CGAGACGAGGCAGTGTTTCTTGTTTGAAAATTTTTCAAATTTTCGAATAGTTGTGGACGAGGATGAGGACGATGAGGAAGTCGAGGAAGGAGCGAGAGACTCTCTTTATGGCGAGCTGGAATGTCCAGTCCCTTGTAGAGGACACAGGTGATGCCAGGATATGTAGGAAAAACAAGTCAGTGTCGCGAGTGGACAGAGGTCTGGACTTTTTGTCGGCGGAACTCGTAAAATTCCGTGTCGGAGTTGCGGGAATTCAAGAGACGAAGTGGTTCGGCAGTGATGTGTGGCCCATCGGCAATTGTACCTTCGTTCATTCTGGTCGCCCAATCCCAACAGGGGGAGAACCAGCCCGACGGAACGAGGGTGTTGGAATTTGGATGAATCCAGAGATGTCGGCGGCGTGGCGGCGTGGCGGAGAACAGTGGGACCCCGTAAGCTCGCGCATCGTCACGGCTCGTATCCTACTTCACGCGAAGGGGGACAAACTACCCCGCGGAGATCGATGTCACCGTGATCAGTACTTGTCTGTTATCAACATCTATGCGCCCACCAACAAAGCGACATTCAGCGTGAAGGAGACATTTTATAGACACCTACAGGCGATCGTTGACAAAGTCAACCGTAACGACATCTTTGTACTCCTGGGCGATTTCAACGCCAGAGTAGGGTCACGCGGAACTGGTGATTTTCGGGACAGGTATGACGATAGGCCCCCCTGGGATCAGATCATTGGTGACTTTGGTCTTGGTCAATGTAATCAGGCTGGTGAGGATTTATTGTTGTTCTGCGCGAGGAACTCACTATGCGTTTTGAATACCTGGTTTCGGAAGAAGCTACGCAAGCGTGGAACCTGGACTCATCCTGCCACACGTCAACCACACCTGATTGATTATGTCATTATGCGACAGGATCAGCACGTATACTGTCAGGATGTCTCTGTCATGCTTGGCGCGTCATTTTGGTCTGATCACTACATGGTCCGTGCACGTTTGGCTCTGAGTCGTGGTGCTCCACCGCGCAATGGGCGTACAAGTGGCAGCGGCAACCGGAAGCGTTTTGACGTGAGGAGTCTGCGGAACACTGATGTTTGTACAGCTTTCCAGGATAGTGTTCAGGAGCGTCTGGCCAGGGATTCTGCAGTGCCCAGAGAGTCGGTGGAGTCTGTAGATCTAGAGTGGTCTGGCATCCGTGACGCTGTTACGTCTGCTGCCTCTGACATCATTGGTTTTGGTAAACGTGTTCAACCAGACTGGTTCTTGGAGAGCAGCTCGACTCTTGAGCCGCTCATTGATGCCAAGAATACCTGCCATCAAGCGTTGCTGTCAAACAATACAGTTGATACTCGGAAAGCCTTTCGACAGGCACAACGTACAGTGGCAAAGGCTGTGCGGATGGCGAAGGAGAACTGGATATCAGAGGTAGTGCGTGATGCTGAGGAGGCTAAGAAAGATGGGCGCACTCGCTGGAAGTGCATCCGGAAGCTGCAGGAAATTGAGAAGGGCAGAACCTCAAAGCATACATCTGCTGTGCTGGATGAGAACGGCAACTTGATCCAAGATGCGGATGCTGTTCGTGCTCGTTTCGGACGGCACTTTGAGATGGTGTTAAATACGCAGAGCCAATTTGACCAACACACTGTTGACAGCATGCCTGCATTGGATGTTCGTGAACATCTGGACGACGTCCCTAGCATCGAGGAGCTCCAACGTGCACTTCGCCGTATGAAGAATGGCACAGCCAGTGGTCAATCAGGCATTCTGCCAGAGCTGATTCGTTGTGGTGGTGAACTGTTGTTGGGTCGCCTCCATGAGTTCATCGTTAGGGTTTGGGAAACTGGATCGGTCCCTGCTGACTGGCGTGATGCAGAGATAGTCCCCATTCCCAAGAAGGGTAACCGGCATAGCTGCGATAACTGGCGTGGCATCAGCTTGCTCGATGTTGTGGGCAAACTGTTTGCTCGCATGCTCCAGGACCGGCTTGAGCCACTCGCTGAAGACTGGCTACCAGAGTCTCAGTGCGGTTTTCGGAAGGGTAGGGGCTGCATCGACATGATCTTTGCTGCCCGCCAAGTACTCGAGAAAGCCATTGAACATCAATCTGATCTGTACGTCTTGTTTGTGGATCTACGCAAGGCGTACGACTCGGTCCCCCGAACAGCGCTTTGGCTGGTCCTGCAGAAACTCGGTGTGCCTCCGCGCATGCTTCAGGTGATCCGGTCTCTTCACGAGGGTATGATGGCGTCTGTTCGCGTGGGTAGTGGTCAGTCTGACAGCTTTGGGGTGGAGAATGGTCTACGCCAGGGTTGCACCCTGGCTCCGATGTTGTTCAACCTCTACTTCTCTGCCGTCCTTGCACACTGGCGCTCAACATCCACAGTGCCTAGTTTCCCGATGAAACATCGTATCGGCCGCAAGTTGGTTGGCGACCGTACTGCCAAGCACAGACTCACAGACTTATCCGTGTCGGAGTCGCTATTTGCGGATGATGCTGCCCTGTATACCACTTCGTACGAGCACATGGAGACGATGGTGAAGGAATTTACGCAGTGTGCGTCAGGCTGGGGCCTGACTGTTAGTGTGCAGAAGACGAAGTTCTTGGCGGTCGGTCCGAGTGTCATCCGTGCTGATATTGTGGTGCCTGGGAGTGCTGGTGACGTGATCGGTGTGGTCAGCGATTTTACCTACCTCGGCAGTACGATCAGCGACGATGGAGAGCTGGATGCCGAAGTCACAACTCGTCTCGCCAAGGCATCGAGGGCGTTTGGTAGCCTCCTCCAACCAATTTTCCGGAACTCGGGTCTGTCGCTTGGAATCCGACGTCAGGTCTACCAGGCCGTGATCCTTACAGTGCTGCTGTATGGTTCTGAGACATGGACGCTGAAGGCACCCCTCCTGCGCAGGTTGGACACGTTCCATCGACAGTGTGTTCGCACGATCCTGAGTGTTACCCGAGACCAGCAGTGGCAGGAACACCTGTCAAGTGAAGACTTAGCGAAGCGCAGCGGCATGCCAGCCTCGCTGGAGGAGGCCATTCGTGCGAATCGCCTGCGATGGCTTGGTCACCTCGCAAGGATGGATGACACCAGGTTGCCAAAGCAGATCCTGTTTGCGGAGGGCACTAACACGCGGCCCCGCCATGGACCCAAGCGTCGTTGGAGAGATGTGGCCGCTTCAGACCTGCGTGCGACCGGTATCCCGGAGGCGCAATGGTACCACCTTGCTCAGGACCGGAGGGACTGGCGCGAACGTAGCCGTCGGAAGCCACCAAGCCAGCCCCAACCAAGAGTGTTCGTCTGTGTCTGCGGCCGCGACTTTCGCCGTCCGAATGATTTATCCCGACACAAGAACTACTGCCTCGCCTAATAGCTATCATCGCCTTTGGCGATGGGCTTTCCAAAGGTCCAAAGGTGTGTGTGTGTGTGTGTGTGTGTGTGTGTGTGTGTGTGTGTGTGTGTGTGTGTATGTGTGTGTGTGTGTGTGTGTGTGTGTGTGTGTGTGTGTGTGTGTGTGCGTGCGTGTGTGTGTCCATCTCTCCCAGCTCAGGCTGCTGTGGTACACAGCGTAGCTCACCTGTCTGACGGCACGATCCATGTCGCAGTCACCGAAGATGATCAACGGTGACTTGCCACCAAGCTCCAGTGACACCTTCTTCAGGTTGCTCTTGGCCGCACTTCATGGCAAGAGAGAGAGAGAGAGAGAGAGAGAGAGAGAGAGAGAGAGAGAGAGAGAGAGAGAGAGAGAGAGAGAGAGAGAGAGAGAGAGAGAGAGAGAGAGAGAGAGAGAGAGAGAGAGAGAGAGAGAGAGAGAGAGAGAGAGAGAGAGAGAGAGAGAGAGAGAGAGAGAGAGAGAGAGAGAGAGAGAGAGAGAGAGAGAGAGAGAGAGAGAGAGAGAGAGAGAGAGAGAGAGAGAGAGAGAGAGAGAGGGAGAGAGAGAGAGAGAGAGAGAGAGAGAGAGAGAGAGAGAGAGAGAGAGAGAACACATGTGTAACTAGACAGGTGGAATCCTGATAATTCGAATATGGCCATATGCACACCACTGCAACGGACTTGTATGAGATCAGAAACAACACAGCAAAAAAAAAAGGAAAAGTGATACAGCATGGAAAGGCACTGAAAGAGATGGGCAGTAGCACACAAGCAGTCTCCTGACTTTCTCTCCTCACCTGGCCATGATGTCCTTGCCAACCGGCGTGGATCCCGTGAATCCAACCTTCCTGACATCCATGTTGTCCAGGATTGCTTGACCACACACTGAACCGGATCCAGGCAGAATGTTGACAACACCCGGTGGGAAGCCGGCTTTCACACACAGCTCAGCAAACTTCAGAGCAGTTAGTGGTGTCACCTGAATAAGACAGCAGCAATCCAAGTCAGCAGTAGTGACTCATTCTGAAACAATGTTTACAAATTAGTTGTAGCAACTTCGGTGAGAACCATAAGAAGGCTGTTGGTCTCTCGCAAAGCTTGAGCTTGCGGTTCGGTGGACTTCTCGCGTGCTCTGGATGGCAGTTGCGAGTCAGTCAAGTGTCAAATCAAGTCAGCGGGAAAAGCACCTGCTCGAGAGTTGCTAGCAACCAACGTTCACAGTCTTGTAGAAAAAAGACCAACCTTTCAGTTCAAATTTGTTGAAACATGGTCCACTTACAAACTCTGGCATGCACTCTGTCAGTGGTCTCTTTCCTGTGATCAAGAGTGTTCCAGGGGACTTCCCCTGTCCCCTGGACGTAATGACTGTTACTTTCTTACCTGAGCAGGCTTCAGTACGGCCGTATTGCCGGCTGCCAGGCAAGCAGACAGCTTCCACGCCAGCATCATCAGCGGATAGTTCCAGGGCACGACGAGTCCAACGACGCCAATCGGCTCGCGGCGCGTGTAGCACAGATTGCGACTCGGCCTGGCATGGTTAATGGGAATGGTCTTGCCCTGGAATAGTGCAGGAACGAGCACACAGGGAGGTAGAGAATAGACTTCAACGTCACTCTTGCACAACACACAGTCAAGAGAGTTCCATAAGGGTTGGAAGAACCTTCTGCCACCACTGGACTAACTACAACCAGCAAGCTTCACTGCTATTCACAACTATTTTCAACCGGTGATATCAAGAACCTTGGGCCAATGATGCCACAAGGCCAATCGTTCCCATGTTCAAATGCCAATTGTTCAAATGGCCTTACCTCGATCTTGTCACACCATCCAGCCATATAGCGGAAGATGTCGATAGAGAAGCCGATATGCGTCTTGAGTGCAAGAGTGTACACTGCGCCTGAGTCCAACGTCTCAAGGGTGGCCAGCTCCTCCTTGTGCTCCTCCATCACATCAGCCAGCCTGTCCACATAAGCACACACACACACACACACACACACACACACACACACACACACACACGCACGCACGCGCGCACGCGCGCACGCATGCACACACACACACGCGCAAACACGCACACACACCGAGGAGACACCCAGATGATGGATACAAGGAACGGATAATGCCGTTGAGTTGCCCATTGAAATCAGTTAGCACTGCAACCATAACCTTACTGACTAAATTCTGAGAAGTCCACCAGTGCGCAAAGTATCACAAGCGCCAGGCAGCTTATCAACTAGAAAATACAGAAAGGATACTAACCGGAACATGAGACGACCGCGGTCACGTGCGTTCATCTTGCCCCATTCTCCATTGTAGAAGGCGTCCTAGATACCAAAAAAAAGCATTGGAAAAGGTATACTAGTACCTGATACGTAAAGGAGTGTGCAAGATGTTCACAAGAGGGATGCAAACAACATGCTACTACAAACCCAACCGGAACTCTAACACATGTAACAGTAGCCGCTAGCAAGCAATGGCAAGCTTGAGGACTGCTTACCTTGGCAGCGGCAACAGCAACATCCGCATCCTCCTTCCCGGTGAAAGCGACCTGACATATTTCTAACAGAAAAGAGCCAAACAGAGCGAGAGCATGACACACGGATTAGGCTACCACTGGTTAATGTGGTTATCATCTC